GAATGCCAGGTTACGGTGCCACCTATCCCTGTAATTCCAACAGCAGGATGGCAAGCTTGAAGCCACCCTGAGCAACTGAGCAAGGCCCTGATTCAAAATAAATTTTAAAAGAAAGGGCTGGAAGTGCAGCTCAGCCCAGAAAATGTACCTAGCAATGTATGAGGCTCTGGGTTCAATCCTCACCAGCATATTCATATGCACACACACACATACGCACATGCACACGTGCACATATACACACATGTGTACAATGCACACATGTATACACAAACATGCATGCACACACAAATAAGTAAACTTAAGTGTGGCTGTGTGCTGTCTTCTCTTCATCTAGAATAGCCTGCTCTGCATCTTTGTTGAAGAACCCTCCTGTTTAGCCCAAAGTCCGGCTTGGCACCCACCTCAAGGATCTGAGCCTTCACGACTCCTCCCACTCATGAACCCTTATCACTTCCTTTCCCCACTGGTCACATCCTTGTAATTCAAGGCATCATCTGGGTGTGTGTCCAGCTCTCCTTCTCAGCTCTCCTCCTGGTCCTGAGGCTCATAGAGATCTGGGCTATTCTTTAGTCACCTCTGGGTAGCGCAGACCAAGGCAGGAGTTGAGGTTCCCGGGCCTGAACAGCTTTATTTTAATTTATGCTCCACAGGTGGATTAGCTACAGCCAAGGCTTGGACACATCCAGGGTGCCTGATTCCTCTTTGTGGCTCCAGCGCCAAGCACAATCCCCGACACAAGCAGGTGCTCAGGTCAGGGTGGTGGACTGAATTATCTAATTGCATCTGTTTTATTGTTCCTTTTGGGTTAATCATAGTGACACCAAGATGGAGCGCTAACTCAAACATCTTCTATTCTCTTCTTGATAATTTCTGACCCCCAATAGCCATAGCCACTCTGGTGCGTTCCAGAGTTTAAACTTGGCATGTAGGAATATTTTCTTTTGAACGGGGACATTATAAAATCTTAATAGTATATCAATAACTTGTTTTGCTGTTGTTGTTGTTGTTGTTAGGTATTTGGCACAGGACCTCACTAAGCAGCTCGGACTCATAGTGATCCTTCTACTTTCAGCCTCCCCAGTGCTGGGATTATAGGCACGCATCATCATGCTCAAACTCAGTGACCAGCTTAGCACACCCAGGGGAGGGGTCAGTGAGGCATGTGGTGCCAGGGATCCAACCCCAGTCCTTGCATTTACCTAAGCAGACACTTAGTCTGCTGAGCTATCTCACCAGCTCTTAGATCAATAACTTTTAATAAATAAGTTAAAACTTAAAAACAGACAGGATTTATTCCAAAAATATGACAAAGTAATGAATTTTATTTATTTTTCATAATTTTAAAGGGACTCCCTGCATCTTCCTGCATATGTCCAAATTCAGTTTAGAGAAAAACATCTCAAGAAATTAGCTAGTCTGTCAGTGACCAAATTCCCAAGCAGTTGGTGGACATTTGCCCCCTCAAAGTTAACATACTCAGAATAGAACTTCTTATTTCCTCCCCTAAACAGCTCTCTCTCCTGGTTAGAGTTGAGAGCTGAGGTTTAAAGAACAGTAAGATGCTACTGCATAGTCAAGGACGCACCAAGACAGAATCCTAGCTTGTCATTATCCCCTCTTCCCCATGAGAGGCCTAGGGGAAGTAGCCCAAAGAATAATAACCTAGCACGAATTAGGATACCACTTGATTAATATCTGAGTCAGGATCCAATAGCCCAGGGAAATGTCTCAGAGTTTCAAGCTGTACCGCCTGGGCTGAATCCCACAGTGAGCCATCCATTACTTTTTTATTATTTAAACTGTGACTTTAACAGTGGCCCATTCAATCTTCCTTGCATGATAGGAAATGAAAGAGAGGGATGGTTAGGCAGCTCTGCAGAGAAAGCCTTGGTCTAATTTACCTCCTCATCTCTGGACCCACATGAGTTGGAAAGAAGAGAACCATGCCTGGGCCTGGTTCTCACAGACACGGTCTACCTGGTTCACTTGTCAGTGGGCCAAGAGAGAAAATCCTGGCAGCAGGCATCTCTGGCTACAAAAGACACTGATTCTGCAGAGTAGTAAAACTTAGCCCAGTGAAATGTCCTAGTCTCAGACACATCATATTAAAAACTGACTCCAGCCTAAGGGGAGTAGGCAGAAGTGGGCCCAGCAGGAAAGGAGCAGACACACATTACCTCTCATTACCATCTGGCTTCTTGATAAAAGGAAGCCATTCAAGCTCCAAATCGCCACAGCCAAGCCACCTTTAGGTCACGTCTTCTGTGTGTGTGTGTGTGTGTGTGTGTGTGTGTGTGTGTGTGTGACAGCTCAGGGTGGGGAATGCAACCGGTGGCTAGTGGTAGAGCTGTAGGAGGCTGCTAATCAGCCTGCAGTGCACAGGACAGCTGTCCCCAACAAAGAATGGCAATCAGAAAAAGTGCCTGCCTGCCAAGCGCGAGGCCCAGAGTTTGATCCTTGGTACCTCAAAAAAAGAAACAATTGAAAAAACAAAGAGTGACATGGACTCAAATAGGAATAACACTGAGCTTGAGAACCCTGCCCGGGAGGGGACAACCGGTGAGTGCTCTGCTTACTGAGCAAAAAGAAAAACCTTGTCATTTATGCTTATCATCCCATGTAATTCTGATAGAAATCCCACAAGAAACCAGAAGCCCTATTTTGAGAAAAGGATTAGAAACCAGGAGATGCGGACAATGAGTTCAAGGTTAGCGGCCTGGAAGGAAGCAGACTGTGATGAGAACCACATTTTCTGATTCGCCCTCACGCTCTCCCCCACCACATCCCTATTCACGCAGGCCGCTGCTCTCTTTCACAGTGCCGTTGCCAGTGGTGTGATCCAGCTGTCTGGCTGCAGGTCTTTGGGTAGCCCAGCCCCAAGCCATTTTCACTAGTTTAGGTTTGCCCTTTCCTCGGCCAGAGCCTCGTGGCAAGTGCCACTGGGGAACAGGGCTACCTGCTCATGATGGGCAGAACACATGGAAGCATATTCAGTCCTGTTTTTAAACTCAACATTTTATTCATATCGCTTGGTGCACTTGTAGTATATTCTTGAGTGTATTTACTAGTCACACTCTTCCAGAAAGAGAAAGAGCTCCAGGAAGGCAAAAGTCACACTGACTGACTTCACTCCTGTCCTTTGAATGGCCCAGTCTCGGTCACTGTTCACACCACTGAAGCATAATCCCCAGCACACATAACTTAGAGAGAAAAAGGTTATTTTGGTTCATGGTTTGTAGAAGTCTATAGTTAGCAGGGTCCAAAGCAGGGCAACATAGCAGAAGGGCCTGGCGGAGGAGAGCTGCTCAGCTCATGGTGGACA